ATGTTGCAGCCCAAGTAAAGACATATTGGGTTTTCAGGGAGAGATTGAAGTACGTATCTTCATAGTCACCAAGAATAATATCCGAATGTGTTTCCATTTCTCGTTTCAAATTTTCCGCCATCTCTTTAAGTCCCTCAGGATTCAGAAATTCTCCACCACTAACGTCAAGTCGAATCGTTCGATTTCCTCGCATAAAAATATTATCCTTTTGCTGTCTTGGAATACCAAGTGAGAAAACAAGACCAATTCGAATACCATAGAGTTTGTAAGTGGAAGGATGGGTGAGATAGGAATAAAGACGTCGAATTTCTCTTCTCTTATTGAAATTCGCTATTCCAGATTTAACGTTAATAATAAGATTCAGTTCTTGACTACTCGGATTCTCTGGATTGCATACCTGGCTGCTAATTGAAAGATATTGAAATTTTGGTATATTTATTGGTTTCTAGAAAGATATTTATTAATAAATGCACAAATTCACTTACTTCATTCAATGGTTTTCCATCAATAAGTCGATTGATTGCATCGGAAATATTGATCGCTTGTGGATAGAGTAAAGTGACTCGAGGATCAATAGGCAACTTCCAGAGTTTATCTGGGATATCTATTAAATCCCTAAATTTGAGCAGTCTATTCTTAGCTCTATCCTGCAGAACATATTGATCAAGTATATTGTACTCTGAATAATTCTTCAATTCGGTTTTTATAATTTAGGTGTAGTTCATACACCCCATTCACTTTCTTTAAATCGAATGGCCATTTTTGCACCAGTTCCCTATCTTGAGACACCGTGTTCTCCAATATATCGTATCTTTTGACAGAGAAATATCGTAAACATGCCCATAAAAATAATAAAATAAATAAAACGACACGAAGGCGAGTAATCCTGAACATTGGGCTGGTTTCCAAACAAACAGTATCTACTTGCACACGAAAACGCTGAATTTGTAAGTCAATAATTGATTGAGCAGGGATTCTTCGAGGCCCATTTACCAGTTGGAATTACTGAATAAACGCAATATTATTGGCTAATATCATATTCGGTGACAGAAATGTCATTTTAGGTATTCACGAAATGAATAGTAAAGAAAGATTCCAGGAAAACTTCAGCTGCTAATTTCACCAAATGTAAAATGAGTTACTACTGATTCCAAATGTTATAAGATATTCGGTATTGATAGATGGTCTAAAATTAATCGTGGTGCCATCTACTCTTGTTTAAACAGTGCACAACGATTTATAACTATCTCTTTACTTATTTTATTATGATGCAATTTTTTCCATAAGAGCCTTAACTAGTGTAAAACAGTTGGCCCATTTATCACAATCATTTTAATGTTCCTGAGAATACGATTACTTCTAGAGCCATTACTATTATTAAGCAACCACATTGGGAACTTTTAATATCCTAATTTTAAATCGTTCTCTGGTGATTTAGGAGTCAACTCACACTTGAGAGATAATGAGTTTCATGTCAGGACACACCAAGTAATTGGTTGATATCCACAGGAAGCGAGATTCTGACCAGATTCTGATTCTCAAGATGAGTTTTAGAA